TTCCCACCCCACCTTGGCCTCCCAAGGTGCTGGGATTACAGGCATGAGCCACCCGCGCCCAGGCTGAGTCATGCTCTTTCTATTTCTATCAGTGTTACTTGCCGCCTCACCTTGTTCCTTTCTGCGCAGAAACCTCCCTCCCTCTCATACACAGGGTGCATACCTTTCTCTTGTCATTGCTCTTAGGAAAGACAGCCTACACATTGAGTTAGGATTTGGAATTTAAAAAGATGGCAAGTTGAAAAAGCAGAGTGGGGGGTTATCTGGATCAATGACAGTGTCTCCAAGACCTGGTCTGGTCCCTGTTTTATATTCACTGATGAGGTTTCCTAGCCTCTCCTGGTGGACAACACCCAGGTCTGAAAAATCTCTCACCATAGACGGAGGTTCCCCAGCAGTAGGTAGCTTAAATGTTCCTTTACCTAATTCTTCCTTCACTCATCACCAAAATGGGGGAAAAAATCTAATTTCCTCCTGACTGGCTAAAAGCTAAGAGAAATGGAAGGAAAAGGCATTCCAGAGTGCTTTGGGGTTGCACATGGACCTGGAGTTTTAGCAGATGGGCCCCTTTGCCCACTCTGCCATGGAGCTCACAGCTCCTCTGCCCCTCCGTATACACAGGGTCTTAGTCAATTGTTGGGGGGGTAACAAAACATGGAACCTGGTCTTCGAGAAGATTACAGACCCTTGAGAAGATACAGAAATTGTCTGCTCGGCCCAAGTCAAAATAAAATGACTGAACAGGCCAGGGCAGCACAGACGAGAGAGCAATTTCCTCTGGGGCAGTCGTCCTCAAAGGGTAGTCACTGTGCAAGCAGCAGCAGAGTCAGCTGGGAACTTGTGGGACATACAAATCCTGGAGCCCCACCCAGACTACTGAACCAGAAATTCCTGGGGTGGAGCTGGCAATCTGTGTTTTAACAAGCCCTCCTCATTCTGATGTCCTCTAAAGTGTGAGAACCACGGCTCCAGAAGACTGCAGGGCAGTGGCGGGTGGGGGAGAGGGAATAGGCCTGACTTCTCAGAAGAGTCCTGAAGAACTTGCCCTTGAGTCTGCAGAGAAGTTCACCAGGCAGACAAAGAAAGAAAGGGCAAGCCCGGGCATATGCACAAGAACCATCTGAGCTCTGCATACCTTCTGATATATGTTTAATCATCTCGGAATAGTAATCGTATTGATACTATGTTGTTTAGAGTAAGAGGCAATGTATTCTTGGAAGAGTTAAAACTGTTTTCTGTTTTTAAAAAAGTTATCAGTTGAACTTAATTTTGTGTTCTAAATGTAACTAAGGATTATTTTTATACAAATTTTCGAAAGCTTACTAAATGTATCTGATAAACTTGTTAACAGTAGGTAGTTAGGCAGACATAGCAGGGCAGACCCCCACCCCCACCCCAGGAATGTCAGACGACCATCAGGGGATGGTCAGGAAGTTGTTCCACTGCTCCCTAAAATAATAATTGATTGCAGCCGGCACCAGGGAAAGGCAGTCTCCTAATAGACAGAAAACACCGGAACCTTGTGGGCAGCAGCCTCCCGATAAGATCTCAGGAGTCGGGCGAGTGAGCTCGAGCATGTGCACTAAGAGGTAAAATGGCGGAGTTTAACTGGTGTGTGACCTTCCTCTAGGAGCCCTAGACTGGTAAGGGGAAGATGCCTCCAGTGAGCCTGCGCACGACCTCAGTAAACACCGCACGCGCAGCCCCTCCCAAGGGCTGACAGGTCACTGCACGTGCAGACAGTCCACCCCAAGAGAAGGATCAGGGGAGAACAGACATACCCCACTGGAAGCAGGCCAAAGTCTACGACCCTAAGTCAAAAGTCAAACAGCACACTTGAATCTCTCCAGTCACTCACTTGGCCCTCTTCCAACTGTATTTTACTTCCTTCTATCCCTGCTGTAAAACTTTTTAGTAAACTTCCACTCCTGCTCTAAAACTTGCCTTGGTCTTACTACGTCTTATGTCCCCTGGTCGAATTCTTTCTTCTAAGGAATCAAGAATTGAGGTTGCTCCAGACCCATATCGATTCACTGCTGCTCACAAACTCATCCAACCTCTTTCCTTGATTCCTTTAAAGAAAGCATATAGCTTTTAACCAAAACTTCCACTCAAAGAAGTCAAAGATGGATAACTAAGATACTGCTTGTTTAATAATCCTCATCTCTTGGACATTTATTTTCTCTATTAAACTTATTTCTCCTGCAATTCACCCACCTTCGCTCTTCCTCCCACCCCACATACACTTCCTGGCTTCGAAAAGGAAAGCAGATAGGCAAACTGGTTAAAATTGCACTAAGTTAAGGATGAAACTCTAAGCAAGAGACTTTCTTCCTTAAGCATGCTGTCTTGCATGAATGCTACTCTGAAATTTCATTATTTAGTGAAGAATCCACAGGTGTATGGTCAGACAAATAAAGGTTCAAGTCCTAGCTCTGCCTCTTGCTAGCTAGTCATTAAACTCCCTGTCCGCATTTCCTTGTTTCATTGGCTGTAGCATGGGGCTGAGGATATGTGGTAGGGGTTCAATGAAACCATAATGTATAAAATAGCTGGCACTTAATAAACACTTACTGAGTGTTTGTTTCTACCTTTTCTTCCTTCTTTCAAGGTAATAGTGGTAGATGACGAGCCCAGGCTCTGATCTAAAATAACCTGACTGCTGGATTTAAATCCAGTCTGCCACTTACTGGCCATGTGACCTTGGGTAAATTATTGCAATTATTCTCTACATCTCAGGTTCCTCATCCTTAGCCTGGAGATGGCAAAAATAGCACCTGTCACATGCTGTTGTTGTGAGGATTAGTGATCTTGGTACCTGCAAAGTGCACAAAAGAGCTCCTGCAACATAGTAAGCCCTCAATGTAAGTTGGCTAGTGTTACTGATATTGTTATGGTTTTCAGTTTCCAACTCCCGTGAACAAGCAAGGCTGACAGAGACGTGACTTACAGATAAGTAAGATAGATAATCCCATGCACTGAGACTTTCAGAGCCTCGATCAACTTCTTAGCATCACATAATTGTTTCCATGAAATAAAGACTTTTGTTCCCTCCAGGACATCTTTCTCATTCTTGATTTTTAAAACTTATGCTCTGATAGGTTTTCTTGATTTACTTGCACATGACGGTCATTTCACTGCCACCAATTCCATGAAAAGATTTAGAGAAAATACTGTTTAGGAAAAGGAACCAGTTGGAGCAATTGATAGATTCTCCAACTTTGTTGCATAAAAGATTTAGAATGACAGAGCCAAGGCGTCTAAATTTACACTAGTCCAGTATTTTCCCTTTAGATTTTCATCCCCAATCTCCCAATAAACTGACTCGGTCAAGTCACTGAATTAAATAAACCTAACTTTATTCAAGTGGTTTTGTGGGGATAGATACGGTTCTGAACGAAATCCTACCTTGAGACTGGGGCATAGGATATTTTGACAGAGAATTGCAGCGGGTTAAGTACATTCTTATTTAGAGAATCTTGTATTACGGTTTTTCTTACAACTGACTTACCTGATTTCACTTGGAAGTGAAATCTAAGAAGTTCTCTGCAGAAGCAAATATTTTCCACGTGTTAGATTTGCTCCCAGGAATAGAAAGACTCCAAGCGCTTCAGCTTGGAACTGCAGGCCTTCTTGTCCATGTTTTATTACTTAATCCTAACCTTGCTTTTCCTCCCTCCCAACAAGCATGTTCCTTAAGCATGGCTTGCTGATTTCTTACCTCTTAATGGGGGTGCAGATATTCCCCCTTCCAGGCCTACCCACTCCTGCAGAACCCT